CATTTATCTCAAAGCCGTTCTTGCTGTTCACCGCAGATATGGAAAATCTCTAGGTGGACTCTGCACCCTAAAACCTTGGGACTGCCATGTTGCTTGAACAAACAGGACTGCTGATGAGTGCCTATCCACATCCTGACTGCTGTGGTCTTTACTTCTCTAGCAAGTTAGTGTCAGTCCTGGGACCAGGATTGGAGCTGGAGGGATGAAGGGAGCACCACTGAGACACATCAGCCACTCTGTGGTGGGAACCACACCTGGATCTGCCACAGGCTATTGGCAAGCATTGCAGGGCTGTCCAGAAAAGCCTCCTCTTTGTCTGCTAAACTGTATTCTGTGGTTTAAACTGGGCTGACAGCAATTTGGAGAGCACCAAATGAAAGCAGAAACAAGGAGTCTTGGGAAGGAGAGCAATATACAGGTCCCCAATTCCAGCAGATTTACTCTGTCCTGCCGTATGCTGAACCCAGTAACTAAAGGATAGGATATTGTATGTCGAGATGTAAATGGAGACGTTTTGAGGCTGACTTTCCAATTCAGAAGATGCTGTGGGGCTTTGTTTTGTGTTGGTTTGGGTGTTTTGTTTTCAAATTGTGAAATCCAGTGCCTTTTATTCCTAACAAACTCATCAGGCGGTTGGAGACCATACTCCATAGTGAGCAGATAGCAAAGTTCCTACTCTGTGCTTGGGTGGGGTCTTGCAAATAATCCCTTAAGTACCCTGTTTGTTTTCTTGCTGTAAAGCGACACTTGTCTTTGAAGGAAAAAAAACAAAACAAAGTCAAATAGGGAATAACTCAGAGCAAACAGTAGAAAACATTTCCTAACAATAAGGGCTGGAAAACTCTGTTCCTTACAAAAACAACCACAAGTGCAAGAGGCTACACCCCAGGCACACTGGGGAAACACGGGAAAGCTACTCTCTGACCTGGAAGAAAATGGGGAGGAGAAGTTTCCAACCCAGTTACAAAACTGCTCGACTCTAACCACCAAGGCCAGTTTTAATATGATTAGGCTTGATACCCACTGAGTTTAAAAGCCATTTTTGAATGTGCTTGTAGTGAAGTGGCAGAGATTCATAGCTGGACTTGGCTTTGGAGCTGAGGATCCAGCAGAAGGGAGCTCCATGGAACATGGGCCTGTGGGCTTCACCTCCCTGCCTGGGGATGAGTTCTTCTCCAGCAAAGCCACAGCCCAAATGGACGGGAAATGGGCTTGACAGATGAGACAGGCATGGGGCTAATGGCTCCTGTGACTGATGGGGCAGGCTGTGTGGCAAGACACTGCTGGATGAGCTGAGGCCTCCATTAGACTGAAACTGGAGCACTGCACGGGATGCATATTACTGATTGAGGTCTGGGGCTTACTGGATGAGGGCGAGCTGCTGTAGATTTCCAGGGGGCCATTTACACTACAGTGGAGATAAAAAAGCAAAGTGAAGCTGTGCATTGGACAAAAAAGTCGATGAAAAGGTCTGGGTGGGAATGTGCACATTGCCTGATATGATTTGGTGTCCCAAATGGCCTTAAACAGCCCATAGAATTTCTATGTCTAAACCAGATTCCAGCAAAGGAGACCTTTTATGATGCACTAATAGGCTCATTAGGCTTTCTTGAATGAGGCACGCTCACAGCATCGTATGTTTTTTCCATTACAGGAATTACATGTGTTTTGTTGTGCTTTGGGTTCTGTTTTGTTTTCCACATAGACTTGCCCTGACAGTTTCCCCCCTTCAGGTTTACATTGGAGGTACCATCTCGAGCCAATGAATTTTATGAAATATGTTGCTGGCACTCACGGAGAGATGCATAAAGGAAATATTCTAATGACAGTTGGGAAGGCTTTGATCCCTTTCCAAGACTGCACTCATGTCTTTGAAATGCGAGTTTGGCAGTGCTGGAAAGGCTGGGCTCTTTGGCTGCTCTTTGGCACGAGCCCATGTGACAGACATTATGTCCTCTATCAGGGGACCCACATAACCTTGAGAAGTGTAAGCAGTGCTCGCAGATTGCATTGGGTCAGATAGTCTGGGCTGATAACAAAGCAGCCGCGGCAGCAGGGGGGAGGCAGCCTCATCCAACGCAATAACTGAAGCTATTTTGACCTGGTAACTGTTGGGTCTGCTGCCTGTGGCTACGTAGTTGGACATGAACTGCAAAAGTAGTTAATTTATGCCTCCTTGAGTGTAGGAATGTGGTGATGATGGATAGAGATGGGAGGTTATTAGAAACATGGGGAGGAAGGAGAGGATGGAATTCCAGCTCGTGTTTTTATCTTTTACACACACACATGTGCTGGTTCCTTTGCATGCATACTCTTGGCTGTCTCTCATGTGTGCACAATCCAAAGCCTTGCTTACACACTCACACCTCAGCTCATGCACGCACATGCAGGCACATGTTCACACGCTTACAAGGGATTTGCCTGAGCTAAGTGCCGGAGCATGTTTATGTGTTGCAGGTTGCTGACTGCTTTTACTGTGTTTACTTCTTCCCAAGCACGATCTACTTACACCTAGTCCTGTGCAGACTCTTTGCTGAAAATTCTCCTGGTGTTCTGTTCTTACACCTTTTGAATATATTCTGCTATTTGTAGACTTCTATTGGCTAGCAGAGAAATGGTGCCCAGAGAAATGCCATAAAACCAAGTCCAGTTGACTTGGTGGATTTACGTAAGACAGGAGTTCAGTCTCAGTGATGCACTGATGTAATTTAACAATTAGTTAAATGCTGCCTGCTCTGGATGTTGTCTGCAGTAATAATCCGTGTACAAAACAGCCGTAGATATTGAAGCACAGAGCCTGTGTGCAAGTGAGGGAGCACTTGTAGCCATGCACTGAGGCTATAAATGGGGATTGGATTGTGTAAACAATAAGCAAAGAGACAGCTGAGAATAAAGAAATGTTAGTTTAGATTATTTGAAACCATAAGAGAAGAGGGATAAAAATGGTAATCTCAGGAGGGGAGTCTGATTATAGTTACTCCTACAGGGATTTGCATAGGCCATGAAGTGTCTGCATCCAGAGTCAACAACCGCGGTCTCAATACCACGTTTCTTTCCCACTGTGATACAAAACACACAAACGTTTTTCTACTTAGAAGTACACAGTGCTTCTGTTTCTGTCCTTTTCTCTCTTGCACGAAGCATCACACCACTCAAACATTCTTTCTTACACTTTTTCTCACTATCTTCTACCAGTGCTGCCATATGTGTACACATACACATCCTCCCCTTCCCACGCGCGCATCCTCCATCATGTATTGTCCCAATGCACTTATGCTTTCATTTGAAATGCACATTAGTTCTCATGTAATTTCAAACTGTTGCTTGTGGACACATACAAGTATGAGCCCAGGTTTAGAAAAGATGTTTTCAAAGGCACAAAGAAGATCCTGGAAATAGATTATGCAGAGCCTTAAAAGGTTCTGCACATACATGCAGAACAAGCTTGAGGAGCTAAGGGAAAGATGTGTGTATTTTCCATAGATGTGTTGGGAACAGTGGAGAGATGAGAAATGTGTAAAGGGTCACAGTGCTGACCTGTCCTTCAGGATGTCATCCACATCTGATCGGAAAAAAAAAATACCCTTCCACTGGTGTCCCCAAAGAGCACGTCTTCCTCCATGAGTCAGCGAGGGCCTGGGGACACCCAGCCGTGTACTATTTTGGAGGCAATGACTTCAGCAAGTGGCAGGGGAAGCTACTGTGGAAATATGAATGTGTTTTCCATTGGGGAGTCCTCCAGAGAAGGACAGAAAGATCTTGGTGCTGAGCCAACTCCCCTATTTTTTCTTCACCCTTCTGGGAATGAAAGCCTTGTGAAGTGTGTAAGGAACCCTATTCGCTGAATGTGAGTGTGTTTGGTTTGAGAGAGCTATGTTAGCCCCATGCACACTCATACACAGATGGAGAAGGGGACTTCAGGAAGCAGGAATCAACCTGCTCAAGACCATCATGGTGTCCTTTCCTTACAAGCTAGACAGCCATGCTTGACTCACTGTAATCTCTCTCTCTGTTGTTTCCACCTGTCAAGTGAAGACAGTGCAACTTACCTGTGTTTGAGATCTCGTGTTAGCACAGCGCTTCATATCAAGACGATGTGAGCTAGAAACAAAGAACCAATGGGTTTACTCTTATGTTTCAGTTTCTCCAACTTTACTCTGTGTGCATCACAGTGCCAATGGAAGCAGTGTGGTACCGTGGTACACACTCCGTGAGTAGCTCCTCTATTCAGTATTGACAAAGTCTTGTCCTTTAAAGGAGTGCAAAGAGTACTTCCAATGGCCATTAGGCTTAAGAGATTGGCTTATCTGCAAGCAGATTGCTCTGTAACCTCTAGACATACCAAAAGCTAAGAAGAAGCACAGCTCACCCACGGAGGGGGACACCTAAGGAGCCTTAGGAATTGATGTCACAGTATGGTACCACTCCTGCAGAGACGTCTTGCAAGGAGACCTTTTGGCACAACTTGGCTTGCTGGAAGTAGCAATTCCCAACCATTCAGTGTCAAGGTTAGACCATCTGCATCTTGGCACAAGTGGCTGATGCTGGTGCTAAAGGAGTAACTTTGTAAGCTGGTGTGTGTTGTTGCACCAGCCTCAAGATGTGAAACTTGTTGTTGTGAAGGAAAATTAGAGGTAACAATAATAAACAGCTTAGAGGGAATGTGCAAGGTAACTGCTGATATGAGAGATCTACTGCCCATAATACGTGGTTAATTACATTCATAATAAGTATATTTCTCTACTTATCTTCGGAATGTGGACAGCTTTATGTATTTAGCTTGGATTTTCTGGCCTCAGTTAATCAATGGTCTGAAATCCTTATATAAGATTCACTGTATGAATGCAAAGTAATCGAAGTTAGGGAGTGGGTTATTAAAATATTTCAGGTGACTGTTATTCAGGATATTATAAGATCTTTGCCTGGATTGCAGCACTTCTTCTGTACTTTGTGGCTTTTCATGTCACCTTTAGAAAACAAGATGCTTTTCTTTTCTACAGAGCATACTTGGATGTCAATGAACTAAAGAACATCCTCAAACTGGATGGATCCACACATCTAAACATCTTCTTTGCCAATTCCTCCGAGGAAGAGCTGGCTGGAGTGGCAACTTGGCCCTGGGACAAGGAAGCCTTGATGCATCTAGGTGAGCAATAAAGATGTTTCTTCTTTGTAAAGCATTCTTTTGAGGCACTAAGAAGGAAAGACAAATATGAGTTAAGCTCTGTTCTGATTTCTTATCATTCCTGTAATATATAGTCAGGGGAAAAAAAGTATTTCACGATTCCCAGATACTGGCTCACAACCAGGAAAATATTAGGTTATAAACCCAAAGCATATTATGGTATTTGTAGATGATGTCAAGCTGAAAGTATTTCACCTTTTAAGTGAAGCTACTTTACAGGGCATTCACTCCATGGGAGCACTTTGCAAAGAAGATTTGGGGGGATAGGTGTGGGGATGCTAGACAGAAGTGAATTTTTAACCTCAGCCTATTATGTTCTGATCCCTAGTTCATTCCTTAGTAAGTGTTGAATTAATTTTCCTCACAGTTAAAATTTGTGGCTGTTTTTCTCTACCAATGTGCAAAAGAGCAAACTGCTGAGAGATTGTATTTCTAATGTTCATTTGAGTGGAACTAGAAGGAGTTCACAACCCTGTGGATTGCCCTGCAAGTTTCATAACAAGGTTGCTGAGTATGGCTGCTGGAAGCCAGGGATCCAGACAAAGCTGTACAACCTCCCAAATGACTCATTGCCCTGACACCTGCAGTGCCACTGGACCTGTGTTCCTTGCAAAGTGCCAGATGATCCTTGCTCAGAAGGCACCGACTGAGTCTGTAGGTACTTCTCTGAAGTGCACAAACCTCCCTCGGGCTGCAAACCTTATCTGGTCATCTTATAAGAGCAGGGATTGTCACAGATTTCCCAGATATTTCTCTAGCTTGTCAAGACCTACCTAGGCTGGAAGTGAAGTCCTCTTTCAGCCAAGTTCAGTCTTTATGAAAGGCTGTTTCAGCCAATTTTTATATTACCCAGCCCCACCTTGAGCAAAAGAGAAAAGCTGTGGCAAATGTAAAGCTAGATGAGGAGAGTAAAATATGATGTTTATTATTCTAAAGCATACTGTGAGAGCTGAGCTACAACTCGAGCCATCAGTCAGAGAGGCTTTTCCATGCTCAAAAATATATTACCCCAAATCCTAGACGTTAACATCTCTTTACAGTCACCATAGCTGAGAGAGGCTCCGTGGTCAGAGCAAGCAGTTGCCCTAGCTCAGTTAGTAAATGTTTTATTGTGACATCCAGCTTCACAGCTGCTCTGGCAGAAGTGTGAGCAAACTTCCCAAGGACTGGCACTGACACACATCCAGTCTCCTGCTGAGCTAGGCTGGAAGTGAAGCCACTTCCACTCTGACTTGCCTCCAGCCCCATCTCCATGGGCTGCTGCCTGGAGCACTGAGAATAGAAGATGCTGTAAATAAATGCCTGCCAGTGAGCATTCCCCACTGCAACATCTGGCAAAACCAGAGATAGATATTAACCCTAGCCTCAATTGGAACCCGCACTGATGTGATTTCTATCACTCTGTAGTACCACAACCCCCTGCTCCTGCGCTAACCCCACAGTAACTGCTTCTGGTTGTGCAACAAGGATGGGTTGCTGGTGGGAAACATCAGCCCTAATAGCACCGCTGGAGTGAACTAAGGCTGCAATATAGCTGATCCTGCCCTACATGAGTAGTTTCACAGCTTCCCTTGGTGTTGTCATGGGAGGTAGCAGAGAACAAGGGGAGAGCTCCAGAGCGCCAAGAAGAACCTTCTGCAAGAGGGCTGGGGCCTGCCCAAAGCCCTGATGAGTTCTTCTGTCACTTCATTAAGCTAATTGTCACCATCATGCCTGAGCAAAACAATTTCAGCTCAGCTCAGCTCAGTGTATTGACAGAATTCATTGATCAAGAAAAGGTCTCACGAGAGAAAAAAAAGAAAAAAGACATTAACCAACAGTTTAAAGTTGACTTGAAGTGGGGAAAAAGTAAAATAAATAAATAATGCTCATAATTTCCTGTCCAAATGGCCCTCCCAGACCTGTGCTTGCTCTGTAAGAATTCATCTTGAATCTTTTTTTACTCTCTTCTATAAATCCAATATGTACTTAATAAAAAAATATGAAATATGTCCTGTGGTGCAGATCTAAAGGCTGGGATGGAGATTGTCTGGGTGAGGGAGTTTATCTTTTCTGTAAAACTGCAATTGATTTAGATTCTTGACAGCTGTGAAAAATATAAATTTCCAACAAAGGCAAGAAGTGAATCTCTCTCTCCAGCTGCCTCGGGGCTGTCCAGAGCCAGAACCATTTACCCAGCCTGTGCTTTTGGAGGCACATCCTGCTGAGGAATTCCACCAATACTCCTGCTATTGGAAAACAAACTCTGGAATTATCATTGGGAAAGAAACCCTCACAAAATATACTCTCTGGGTTTAAATATCTGGGTAGAGACCAAGCACTGGAGGAATCAGAGCATGGATTGTATAAAGGGGGATTGCAGTGGTTGCATACTAGTAGGGCTGTATATAATTAATTTGGATTGAGGAGCACTAGTCTAAGGAACATTTCAGTGCTGTGAAAAGGATGTGCAGATGCTACATGTGGCATAGTTGCAGTATGATCGACTTTATTCACTCTTTTAAATCTGTATTTAAATTGCAGTTCATTTTTTAAATACTGAATATGTATTTTAATGCATGTCCACATGACTTCTTTCCACTGTGTCCATGTAGTCACACATGCCCATACACAGTCTTTTTCTGTGTTCCTATTTATGCATGTGTCCGTGTAGGACATCGGAAGGGGTCCTGCCTCTGTCTTCACCACTGATGGATAAGATTTCAGCTGTATTGTGTTTGGACACCAGGAGGAAAATGTGAGACAACTGGGAAAACCAATGATGAACCACAGTCAGGGAGGTTTAGGGAAAGGTTGAATGGATTACAGTTATTTAGACTTAAGGAAAAGAGTCGAAAGTGGGGATGATGACAATCTCATAAAAGCTGATGAAAGGGCAGGAGAATCTTCTGTTCTTCATACCCGTGTGCGGCAGAACTTGCAGTCATGAACTTAAATTGCCGACAAATCAATTCAGATTAGATGCGAGTTAAATCCATGCAGCCGTAAGGATACTGAGTGCTGAAATTAATTGCTGGGGCAGTCATGTCATCAGGGGTTGTAAAGAGATGTTAGGGCAGTATGTGTGAGGGATGGTATAGACCTAGCTGGTCCTGCATTGTTTGAGAGTGGAGTTTATGTGATTTATTAAGATCTTCTCAGACTTATTTTCCTCTAATTCCATGATTATTGCAAACAAGTGTCCAGGCAGATGAGAAGGAAGAGTCTCTATGGTGTGTCAGATCCCGATGATCTCATCTTCCCTGCTCTGCAGTCACTGATAAAGTTCCTCCTGCCAGAACCTTTTCTCTCCTCATTGTCACTAAATTAGTAGTGTACCATATCCAAGATTTATTCTCCCACTTTCACAAAGCAGTCTCCTGTTCTCATGGTAGGCAGTATACACAAACAGTTTTAAATAAAAGGCTTGGAAAAGGTGAACTCAACAAGCTAAATAAAGAAAATATGAAGCATGTCATAAATCCAAAGGTACATCTAACTGAGCTAAAAATATAATTATGATTAATTCAATATACTGTCAAGCCTCACCAATTTACCATTTGCTTATCTACATATCCCATAATTCATACAACAAAAAAAAAAGCACCGTTGATTTTCTTTGTGCACGTTTAACAACCACAGAGTTCTTTTAGAATTAGCACATTCCAGGATTACATAGTTTTTGACACATTAGACTGATGCATATTCATTAGTGGACTGTGCAGTTCAGATCAAACCAGCCTTGTCTGAGTATATGAGCAGAGTGTGTTTGTGACAGTTACTTCAAAGCTGTTTATCTGATCAGAGCACACCCTGCAAAAACTGTTCCAGCCTTGGGTGTATTCTGTTTTCTTTGTCCAGCTATTAGTTTGCAAACATTGGTACACTCTATTGCATTTTTTAGGGTGTTTCAGAAGTTAATAGGCTTCTATTATATCTTTACCCTGTGGAATAATATACAGAGAGTGTTTCAGGTATTCTTTGTTTGACTGTTGGTATCAATGCATTGCTTACACTTATCTGGGCAGAATCATTCTCTTTAAGCACATTAAATTATTTGGAATTGCATAGTATGCAGTAATTGTGTATAGAATTTCTCTTTAAGTTAACACAAACCAAACTGAGCATATTCAGTTGAAAGACCAATTGTCACTGTGGTTTAGGATGTTGGGTTTGTCCCATCACTCCTCATCCTTAGACCCCCAGACTAAGGATGAGATTAAACCTTGCTGTGCAGTTTCTCTGAGCAAGCAATGTGCCTGGTTGTGTGAAAAGCAGCCCATGCTACAGAGGATCCGACGAACTGCCAGTGGATCTGCCCTTGGGATTGTCTTCCTTTGCTGTTCTGTGTAAGACAAGGCAAATGTAGAAGCTGTTCTCTTTTCCCTTTACAGGTGGCATTGTGCTGAATCCCTCCTTCTATGGAATCCCTGGCCACACACACACAATGATCCATGAAATTGGGCACAGCCTGGGGCTCTATCACGTCTTCCGAGGAATCTCAGAGATCCTCTCCTGCAGCGATCCGTGCATGGAAACCGAGCCCTCCTTTGAGACTGGGGACCTCTGCAGTGACACCAACCCTGCTCCCAAGCACAAGCTGTGTGGGGATCCTGGCCCTGGCAATGACACGTGTGGTTTTCACAGTTTCCTAAACACACCCTTCAGTAACTTCATGAGCTACGCAGGTACTTGTTTTTCCTCAGTTTGCTGGTGGGCATGAACAAAGAACACAAGTATCACCTCTGATTTCACGGTCCATTTCATGTGGGGCTTCGTGCTGGTTCATGTGTCCATTGGTCTAGGAGCAAGCTTGATGAAGGATCAAATTTGGTGGCCTCAGGACTGTCTTCCAGTTCTATTATTTTTTTTCCCCATCTTTCCCCAACTTTACATAGTTTCACCTGAAGACCAGCCAGAAGGTTTTGGGGAGGGAAGAAACGAGATAAGCATTCAGAAAACAGCTTCTAACAGCTCTACAGCAAATTTGACACCTTATTTCCCAGGGATCTGGATGCCTGATCTATGAGGTCTTCTTTGAAAAACCCACATTCAGAGATTTGCCCTTTCCCAAGGAGATACTGAGTGTCTGATGAATATTGATGCCACCAAGGCTGTGGGATAAATCTGTGATAGACATCTAATAAGACACTACTCATGCCTCCAGGTGTCTGTTCAAACACCATGTTTATTGTTTGATTTGGAGTCACTGTAGTTCAGCTACAATCGCTCATATGCGTGGAGACCTCATGGCAGCCTTCCAATATCTGAAGGGGGGCTACAAGGATGCTGGGGAGGGACTCTTCATTAGGGACTGTAGTGGTAGGACAAGGGGTAATGGCTTTAAATTTAAACAGGGGAAATTTAGGTTAGATATAAGGAAGAAGTTCTTCACAGTGAGGGTGGTGAGGCACTGGAATAGGTTGCCCAAGGAAGTTGTGAATGCTCCAACCCTGGAGGTGTTCAAGGCCAGGCTGGACATAGCCTTGGGTGACATAGTTTAGTGTGTGGTGTCCCTGCTCATGGCAGGGGGGTTGGAACTAGATGATCTTAAGGTCCTTTCCAACCCTAACTGTTCTATGATTCTATGATTAGACTGTGACATACTGGGATAGTACGTGGTCAGGAATGTTCTTATGGTCAAAGACCACCGGTGTGCTGTGCTGGTTTGTGCTAAGGGTGCAGCTACAAAGGCTCCGTATCAGTCGGGCAGAGCCACCCCTCCAAGAGGAATAAGCTGCTCAAGCAAAAGCCTGATATTGTGGTCATAACTTCCATAGGCACAGCTATGTCGTTCAGGGGTGCTGGTTTGTGGCACTCCTCCCAACAGAGCAGAACACAAAGAAGCCATGATCTCTGTGACCCTTCCCATTGGACAAGGGTGGGCTGGGGTCCTTGCCACACCCCTGCAAGTTCAAGGCGGTTTGAAGGATCCTTGGAAAGGATTTTTTTTTTCCTGTTGTTTCCTAGAAAGAACCAGGGACACCTTGGCTTGTATTTCCCTTTATTTGGGGTCACGGGGCCTAGCCATGCTGAAGGTCTGTGACATTGAGGTTACAGCATCCACAACATTCTAAAGGTGACCAATATCCTTATAGCCACTGAAGGGCACCTTTAAACACCAGGCAAAAACACAGATTGCCCACTCAAAAGGTCATAGGAGTGCTTATTCTGTAATAAAACTGTAGAGAAGCAAAGTGTTTAATGTCATCTGGGGCACAGATTGAAATGATTTATAACAGCAATGCTTTTGTGCTCTCCATGGCACTAGCTAAAAGTGGTGCTTAGTTTTCTCTTTATTTTCCTAATTTGTTTTGAGGGTGTTTTCAGGGACAAGCATACACACCCTGAGACAGCTCCTCAGCATGCTGTGCACTTTATTGTGGGGCAAAGCCTTGGAGCCTGATGTAGCCTCCTGTAACACGGCACCAAGAACTTGGTGCCACTTTAGATGACAATACCTCTCCACCAGATCTGCTGGGATGTGTGATGAGGGGTGGAGCGTGCTTGTTGCAAAACAGAGGTCTCTTCTTCCAAAGGGAACTTGCCTTCCCAATTCTCTCAGGAGCTGAGACAGAGACAGACCACAGAGATACCGATCTGCTCGTGGGAGCTACATATGTGCTGGTGTTCTGAGCAGAAACCTTCTTTTTTTTGTCTTGAAAAATTAAGTGAAGCGACATGATAGGTATCTCTAGAGCTCATGCATGAATCGCTTTGTTTTCTGTGGTTGCCAGTGGAATAAAAATATATCAGGGTATCAAATTGCTGTAGAAACACCTTTGAGACATCTAGTTGAGGTCATGCAGCTCTAAGCATCGCCTTGCCCTCTGTTTTGCTGCTTGTATGCAGCTTGATCATATTGTGTCTGTCTAATGTCCATCTGTCCAGTTACCCCCAGCTGTGTAGCAAAGCATTGACTTAAATAGTAACTTTTCTTCCCCTAAATAACAAGTTACGTGTCCAGAAGATTGAGAATTTGAGAAATTGGACTTGTAAATAATTTTTACAAGTCCAAATAGCTGTGGTGTTCCCAAATAAAAAGATAAGTTAGTCTTTTAGATGCTTCTTCATGAAGTCAGCAGGAATTCTGCCTCTGAATTCTGTTGGAACAACCATCTCAGCAAAGACGCCTGAATTTCTCTAATTATTACTTTATCTGAAGATCTTGAACCTTTCTTGACATGGAGGGATTCAGTGAAATACCTTCCTCCCTCTCTTCTCCTCCCTTCCCTCCCCCAGGACACAGCCTTTGCTGATGGTGAAGCAGATTGGGAATGCAGGTCATCTTTCTCCCATGCCATTGTCTCACTGCTTTGTCCTATATATATTTTATTGTTCCTTTATGATGGCTATTAAGGGCTTTTGTCTCCTCCTATGCTTCCGTGAAGAATATTTACGGCTTTCACAGCATGCTCAGGGATAGACCATCGATAATTACTGAGGAAATCCAGGGATGTCAGATTAAAGCAGCCTTTTGCATACTCACAGGGATTTGTAGGTATTTTCAAGCTGGTGGTGGCTGTCTGTCTACTGGGTATGTTTGATGAGAGGAGGTTCACTGCTCAGTGGAATTAAGAGGGATGCAGGAGAACATGTGAACAGACATGTCCTTCCTGTGGCAGGGCTGCATTCAGGGCTGTAGTCTGAGCAGGATCCCAGCCGAAGCTGTCTCCTTTTGCTTGCATCTCTGGGAAGATGTGGCAAGGTTTTAAATTAGCCAGCAAATTCACACTTCTCTTTAGAACAAATTCATGGTTTTTTGTGCCTCTTGAGTCGCACAGGGCACAGACTCGAAGAAATCAGAGCATCTAGTAACGCTATTACAATATTGAGCTGCCAACTTACACGCAGGCAAACAACTCTGAGCAGCCTTCAGTGACCTGCATCTTCCCAGAAAAGTGTATCCCTTGACCTGTGCCAAACTGTCATTGTTGTTTGTGTCACAGCAGCGTGCAGAGGTCCCATCTGGGACCGAGCGTTACTGGGCTAGGAACTCTGCAGGCACATGGGAAGAAACACTCCATGTTTTCAAGAGCTTTTCATCAGACGGGAAGAGAAACAGAGAAATGGTTCAAGTGCAAGCATCAAGTTCTTCAGCACAGCATTTCTGGGTGACTTTGCACAACATATTTATTCCTTTTGTGAGCTGCACAATAGAGAAATAGTAATTTTCTGCTTCTCTGGGACGCTGTAGTTGTAAAGTTGTGTGGTATGCAGAGGGCACTAGATGTGTTCTTGTTGCCAAATCATGTTTTGGGAAAAACAGTTGAAATGAGAAATGGGTATTTGTGGGAAATTATCCTGCAAAATTATTTCTCCATTTTGAATGAGAAGAAATTGGAAAGATCAAAAGATGGTTTATGGAAAGTTCAGAAAGGGCTCAAATCATAATGGTAATGGGGGAGATTTTGAATAGAAATAATGTTATTTTCCTGCCCCCAAATTTACATTTTTAATCAAGATTTTTTAAAAGTTGATCTTTCAGAACATTTTCATTTGTTCATTAGAAAATTGAAGAACTTTATGAAAGTGATGTATTTTAAAATTCTGTGTTCTTTTAATCTAAGAAAGGTGTCAAAGTCTATTGCACTCATTTGCATGAGTCTCAGTCAGTTGCTTTATCCTAACACTACCATCCTTCACCCTTTTATCCTCTCTCTGAGATATTTTTGATGTGAAACTCTTTCAAGCCCAGAGGTCCACTGGTAGCCCCAATTCTGACCAGAAGGTGCTGCACTGAGGCTTTTTCTGTCTCTTCACCTCCATGTCTCTGCCTTATCCAGGGATAATCTCTAGGTGCTTCCTACATATCCCCGACCAGAGGAAGGGCATGTGTATTGATTTATGTTTTTCTTTTAACTCTTGTTTGCTTTCACCTGCCTCCACAAGTGATGTCTGCACTAGCTTGTTCACAGGCTATTAACTCCTGAGTGCTGGGAGAACCCATTCCAGCTCTTGCAAGAAGCTGCCATTCACCAGGTTGTAATTCTCTCCCCTTATCTCCCATGTGGTTGATGTGGCTTCTGTTTTCATTTCAGATGATGACTGCACCAACTCCTTCACGCCCAACCAAGTGGCCAGGATGCATTGCTACTTGGACCTCGTCTATCAGAGCTGGCAGCCCGCGAAGAAACCAGCTCCTATTGCAATTGCCCCACAGATTGTGACTCGGAGCTCCACCTCTGTCACCCTGGAGTGGTTCCCACCCATTGATGGCCACTTCTTTGAAAGGTGATCATGCACTGCTCCATACTCTTGCACTGAATTGAATGGGAATGGGAGAAGGAGAGGAATGACCCAGGACCCCCATCCAGGAGTGCAGCTTTATGATGTGCTGTGCTGAGTCTGGATTAAGGCTTCCTCCTAAATTGGTTCATACCGAGGAGGTTATTGATCTGTTTTCTGCTCTTCCTTTCTCAGCCTGTAGCACTCGGTTGAGGGCCATTGATTTGCCATGTAAAGGGCAAACCTTTTCTTCTTCCATATGTTGTGGGAGGAATTTTCAATCAAGGATTCTGGCCCTGTGATTCCCGCTGTTATTGCTGCTCACAGATACCTGTGGGCTTCAGCTCTGCCTGCATGTCCCCCTCCCCCCGCCACTCTGCATGTTTCCTTCCCAAAGGCAAACTGAATCTTGTTTCTGCTCCGGTGACAATAGAGAGCTCACAGGCAGTGGTGTCTCACAGGGTAAGTAGGTGGCCATCTGGGGAGGGGGACAAATGCCACCCCCTTCCCTGAGCTGCAGGTCTGAGATGGGAATTGAGCAAGACACAGTCAAGGACCTACAACCTTGAGTATCATGTGTCATCTTGGTATACCCCAGGTAGGGCATGTGTGTGTGTGTTCATGTCTGATAGGCATGCAGCTATGTGCTATCAATAATGAAGAATTAAATGAACGTAGTGCTCTGGACAAGAGTTGCACCATGCCGAGCAGCTCTACCCCAGGATGACCTGAGCAACTGGGTAGTTCATCTAAATACTCTTAGGCAGCACTTGGATGAGCCGCAGGAGCCATGGGAGTGTTAGCAGAGAGCTTCCTAAATGACTGACCTTCTTGTGTTACTATTAACTCACCTGCCCTGTTTGCATTTCTCCTCTGCTTTTTGCTTTGTTATTTTATGGAGAACAAACTCTGAGTGTCCTTCAGCACTGTAGCAGTTCCTACTGCAGGAGGCCGAATTTACAAGCATATTAGCACCCAAAGAGCTGTCTCAGCACTGCTACTCCCTTCAGTGAGAGCACCTTGAAAGCCACTGCCTTCATCAGCGATGAAACTCCTTCCACTGCTTAGTACACCGTGGCCATTTCAGTGGCCAGCTTGTGCTTCACCTGAGCAGGCAGATAGCTGTTCTTTTCTGCTCAGATGGGATTTTCCACCTTTATTGCAGATTCATACAGAGAAGGCAATCAAATCATATTAGGAGTTGATAAAGAGAGGTCTGGTGCTCTGAGCAGTGTTTGCTTTAATTGCAGTTTTGCAACTGGAGCCCTTTATTCCCTATGTGTGAAAAAGGCCTTATGTGAAGCTCTGAAAATTAATTCAGAATTGCTTAGCCCATAACCATTTTTAGGTAAATTAAGTTTCTCCAATTTAATTTAGATTTCAGAAGATGCTTATTGTGTGTTAAATAAATACCATCTGCCTCTTAAGACACATTGATGCAGAGTTAATTGTTATGTAACCAAATATGTCTTTATTACATATTTCTTATAACTCAATCAATATGTTCTTAATAACCCCTAGTTAGTTGCTTCTTAAATAACATCCAGTGGATAGCCTGCAAAATCTAAAATTTCATAACAGAGTTATCATATGTTAAATAAATAGTGATTTTCGAGAGAAAAAAAGGTCCTTTGGGTTTTCAAATCTGTGTGCTCTGTATTACTGAACAGATTTAAAGAGACAGCCTCGAATACTTTGAGTCCAGTTCCTTGTTACACTGAGATTCCCAGTGCTAACAGATAGAGAAATGCTGTGACCATTTAAAAATGTCACTGAAATATAGAAATGATTCTGTCTAAAACATATCCAAGTGTCTGATATATTAAGCAAAACAAGGATGATGGTAGTATTATAGTGGCTAATACAGAAGAGCTCATGTGCTGTACTTCCAGTCCCACTGTGTCCAGCTCTGCTCAGTTAGAGATATGTGCCTGTATCAATTTGTAGAACTGGGTCACTGTGCAAGACAAGTAGGAGGTAAAATTGGCCAAGTATAATCTTATCTGTGTGTGGGAATACTGTAAATCTTTGCAGATATTTTTACACAAAGTGCACACCATGGCCCAAATTTTACTTGCCTCACTTGAATGAATAAACTCATTCACTTCAATGGGACTATTCATGTAAAAAACAGAAGACTGATACTCAGCTGCTGAGTGCCTTGGGCCTAGTTTCTAATGCACAGAAGCACCTTCCATGCTGTTTTAACAGTGTAAAAGGGCCTTAAAAGGCTGAATGGCTCTGGCTACATTAGCAAGTATTGTGGCCCGATATAAGTAGTGCAAAACAGTTGTTAATGAACAACTGAACCTGATATCAACACTGTTTGGGTTCTGGAGGGTAGTTTCAGCCTAGCTGTAGCCTGGCCCGTGGCATCAGCAGTTGGAGCACACCAGGTGTGGTCCTGGAGCACGTCTCCAGTCTGGTTTCAGGCAAAACTGGGTCCAGCTTCCATGCTCCAGGACTGCTTTGAGTGCTCTAAGTGGGGAAGATGAAGAGTTTCACTTCAAAAGCTCGCTCCTGATCCAAATTACCATGCTACTATAGGCACACTCAGCGTAACTCAAGTTCCTTTTATGTCCCTTTTATTCTCTAGAGCTGTGCATAGGCAGTGACCTCTGCTTAATGAAAGTCAGGAAGGGAAAGTTCAGCCTTGTGTTTAAAAATGTACTTCTGGGCTGGCTGTAACCGTGGGTGTGGTCCTGACAGGTCTGAGTTCAGTGGAGATGAAGTATGGAAGTAAAAACCATGTGCTGCTTCTCTGTTTAGATGCAGCTTTGTCACTGGTGCCACAGTATTAGGTAGTATTATTTCTCTTAGGGTCTCAGGTCTAGGAATTACATGATTAGCAATGTGGATCTGGGGACAGAGAGTAGTGCTAACTTAGTTCGTATAAATTTGGGGTTGGCTGTCTTTCATCCTCACACCTTGGCAAGAGTAGCTCCAGGAGCTGTGCACAGAAGTAGATTCTTTGTGACAGCCCCTCCTTACCTGTCCAGTATGTTCAGTTGAGGGCTGCTATGTAACACTAGAGAGTCATTTACTTGCACATAAATTTGCCAACATGTGTTTGACCCTAAATTCCAGCAGCTGGTTGGGCTTCTAAACATCTCTGATACTCAAATATGTCAAGAACTAGCATTTCCTCTTGCAGCTACTACACAGAGGATTGGAATACTTGCCATTCTCCGTTCTCCTCCATGAAAACCCTCGCATGCACGTATAATAATATGTGATAATCAAATAATAATAGAGCCAACAGAACAAGTGAAAACAAGTGAGAAGAAGAAAACTCTCTTCATTTCCTGGCTGCATCTATTAGATGCGTTCATCTGCTGTCGCTAAGCATCCATTCATGTGCCTCCTGTTTGATATGCATAGGCAGGATGTAAACAGTTATTGTAATAGGGCTCAGCAGCAAATTCTGCTTGGACAGAAAACTTTGAATGCATCTGCTCTTCCAAGTTTTCATTGAGGTGACTGCATTAATTTCCATGAATCTGATGCTATCTTGTTCTTAGCAAGCAAATATTTTGGTCAGTATGGCGTCCCAGATCTAGATGGCTGGGCTTGATATTCGCTTGCTTAAACCTTGCTGAAAAGTTTCAGTGCCTTAGAGGAGGGGAGAGCACCAATTCTGAATGTCAAGTAAGCAGATACAATTTAGTCTGAAAACAGGCACTTTTCTCTGAAAGGAATGACAGATTTTAGCTGGGTTTGAGTTGCGCATTGAACTGGTGCTGGCCCTGAAGAGAATTCTCTGGTTTTCAGTAGCAATCTTTAAATTTCGAATCCACTTCCCTAGAATATCATGTAGGAATGAATTCCTCCTGCGCTCTGAACTTTATAAGCTGGAATTTCCCCAGTACTTGGCTTATTAGAAAACAGAGAAGTCTAGATTTTCCATTACCCTGCACTTCGGGGAGTCATGTGCATCGGTGTCTAAGGTGTCAGATATGCTATCGTTCCTAATTAATAGTGTTTTGAACCAATTCACGCTCATTTTGTCTTGATGTCAGGGCCTGCATAAGGTGTAAGGATCTGGCTTAGATTTTCACAAGCCTGTAAATGTGATTCCATAATTAGTTTTGACATTCATGGCTCTTTGTAGGATTTGTGTGTGAGAGTCTGCAGCCTAAAAGCTTTAACCCAAGAGTCATCCCCTGTGTAACTCCTTTCAGCCAGTGGAGTTACATCAGGGTTGAGTTTGGCTCCCAAATTGGAAAAGTAAAAAGAGAAAGTTTGCTCATAGCCTTTCCCACATGATGCTCCTTGTGATTTCTCTTACCTCCAAGTCCTTGCTGGTAAAAGGAAATGTTTGTCCATAAGCCTACAGTTTTTTCCACCATGGCAGCCTGTGATGAAATTGTATAGCTGCTAATTTGAGTAAAAAGCAGTCCTAATTGTGGAAACTTGGCTTTCAAAGCCCTGTCCTCATCCAGGCCCAAGTGCTAATACAGGAGTAGAGAACTGAAAGATTATTATTGCAGGGACTTCTATCCTGACTGTTGGTGAATGTGTCTGAAAAACAGCTGCACAATAAGAATTGTACATTTTGATTTCCCTGTACCTTTTATTCTGGATTCTTGATTTTTATATATATATTTATATATAATATTTAGGCAAGCTGAGTTAGACACTTCAACCACTGTTAAACAGGCAGCTGAGAAATGAAGTAGGGAGTCAGTGTCATACTAATAGTGCAGGTGGGTGAAGTGAGACAGAGGGAGAAGTTATTCACAACATGCCCAAATTTATTCTTTACCAGTGTTACAGATCATGCAAGGAAGAGGAGGGCAGCTCTGCCTCCCTCTTCTGTATTCCACCCCATTGCCACATTTCTGTCTTCAGATGTTTTCAGCAGGTGCATCCCTTTCTGTACTGTCTACGAGTTCAATCATTCACTGTCTCTTTGTAGGGGTGGCTCTGGGCCATGTTGAAATGGATATGAGTTTTACCACCGATGTCATTCCCAGTCCCCCCTGCTGACAATCCCTGCTTCCACCTAATTAAGCCAACAGAAAGTTGCCTTTCAAATAGATCCCTGCCAACAAACAGGAGATGCTAAGCTGTGGAGCAGCTGAGCGTGTGTCATCCCTACCACCAACAGCCTGGGAGGGCTGTGAGAGTAAATTTACAGTCCCGGTGTCCTCACTGGGGATCCAAAATAGCTTCTGCCTGAGGAACACAGTGCCCTTCGCAGAGGAGTGCTGAAATAACCTGTGCAATGGGGGATGGGTAACATTTGTGTAGCTGATTATAATAATTGATGTTAATTATAATAATTGACTCCATCCATACTTACCTGGGTAGCTTAGAGAGTGCACCATGTGTTATACACAGTGTTTGCCTAAAACTTCAGGCCTTTCTTAGGTGCATTTAATTGTTAAGATTATTAATTCCTTTCATTTTGAGTGGGCAGTTTCCTTAAAGCCGAACAATGAATTCTGAATCATAAGCAACTTACTGGGATGAATAACCACAGATTCTAGGTTATACACAGTTCCAAGTGTTGTGACCCTGAGGAATGTTGGGCTGGTGTGAGATGCATCCTCAGCTGATAGAAATCATGGAAGATATTGGAGTTTCTCCAGTCTACATCAGCTTAAACCCTGATCTTGGGAATGTATTAGCGAAAATATTTGTGAATCAGTGTTTAACTGGGCTTTCCTGTTCAACTGCTTATGCTGATATACTTTATTGACAGTAGCTGGTATTAGATGTGTAGGTGAAGTAATGCTGGTGTTGGGCAGTGAAGTGTATTTCTTAATGCCATGTCATGCCATCTGATGGCTTGGAGCCATAAGATGCTCCAGTTCAGAAGGAGCCATGCAGTGGTGCCAAAGCTGCCGGGTATCTAATCCAGTTTCCTCTGTGAAAAGGATTAAGGACATGTTCTTTTCTGTGTGTTCATAACCCACTGCTTTTCCAGGCTTGCAATGATCTGGTCTGTGATGCGCCTCCAAAAGCACGTCCTTGCATACAAAGTGTGCTTCACAGAGCAGTTCTATCTGATGTTCTGAGAGTCTGGGGCTTTGCCCTCTCCTCTGATCACCAGTAAGCCCGTGGCCTTCACAGTCACAGAATCCCAGACTGGTTTGTGTTGAAAGGGACCTTAAAGCTCCTCCAGTTCCAACCCTCTGCCACGGGCAGGGACACCTTCCACTAGAGCAGGTTGCTCCAAGCCCCTGTGTCCAACGTGGCCTTGAACACTGCCAGGGATGGGGCAGCCACAGCTTCTCTGGGCACCCTGTGCCAGCGCCTCAGCACCCTCCCGGGGAAGATACAAAGCTGAAGATGCTACAAGTTCCAGCAATAAATCCATGGTAGGAGCAGAAACAGATCTGAAATCTCCCGAGGCTAGTTTCCCTGCTCTAACCACTAAGCAATATGTATTTTCTTTTGTCATGGTTTGATCCAGTTGTAGTGCAGGGAAAAAAAAGAAATCTAGCTGAGCATGTTTTCACAGGTTGCTGTTGTTTTGTGTTGGATGGAGGACTCACAGATGCCATCTACACAGGCTGTTAGCCCAAACCTACAGAAGGTCAGCATCAGAAAACACTCTTGTCAGTGCCTTGAGAAAAGAGGGTTAAGTGGAACTGAATTCTAAGTTTTATTGCTTTTAATATAGTTGAACAAGCAGCTCATTCAGCTGTTACTAAGTTGGTGTGTTTTCATGTTTTCCTGGCCTCCTAGAGAAGTGGGATCAGCATGTGATCTGTGTGCGGAAGGAAGAGTCCTGGTGCAATATGCCTTCAGCGCCTCTTCTCCGATGCCCTGCGATCCCTCGGGACACTGGAGCCCACGGGAAGCGGAAGGTGAGTCAGAGGGCTGGGGACAAAGATGTGGTGGGGGAGAAGATGGAACAGAGCAAAAGGAGACCCCCAAAGATAGTGGAAAAATCTGGGAGAGAGTGACTGTTTCTGCAGAACCAGAGGACAGATGACTACACTGTGCCCTGAGGTAATGCCACTGGCTGAAATACCTTTGTTTTGGCTCCCATGTCTTGACCCTACCCATGAATTAAATGAATTCCGGGAGCTGAACCTGAATTTCAGAAAGCAGCACAGTGCCAAGAATTGCTGACCATTCACAGCTGCCAGATGAATCCCTCAGGGGAGCTGTTTACCCCTCCTACTCCATCTCCAAAAGTGAAGAATTGCCCGTTATTTATTTGGGTGTGATTTCTGCTGCCTTCGCTTGCACTCAATAGCAGTGGGCTGCACCAGCAGACAGGCTAAATGGAGGTTGCCCTTTGGGCAAGTACTCTACAGCATCAACACAGGTGACTATATCAAGCCCTGTCTAGTTCAGGATGTTCTGCAAGTCATTCTTACTGTGTTGGAGGGAGAACAGTCTGCAGGGCTGGTTGTACAATGCCATTAGATGTCCATCATTAAGTGTTCTTCCATTACAGAAGTAGGTGGACATGGTAGAGCACTTTTAAGATTATACCAGGTAGAGCTCAGTAATCACAGATTATGGTTTGGACAGAGCAGAGTATTATTTCAATCTGTCCCTCACAAGCTGTTCCTTTGGGAGCAGCACACGTCACTGTAAACACACAGGTGGGCTCACTGAACTCAAAGGCCAATCCCTGGATTTTGAAAACTCATTATACAAATACCTCCTTATATTAAGGGCTTCTCTGTTCTGCAGCTAGAGTAGTTGGGAGTTATTCTGCAAGGAAGATTACTTGTAGGCTAATATAGTGATATATGCAGTGCTGGCACCCAGGAGCCCTCCCTAAGGGTCCTAAGGTCAGTATGTGCAGCAAGCTGCATCCCTGCCACATGATGGGACAAGATGTGTGGGCAAGCATCCTCTTCCCTGTGCACCCATCTCCCAGGGTGAGGACCCAACAGAGGTTGCAGTTCACTGCTGCATTTGGACAGGGTCTTTTGACAAGGGCATGTAGTGACAAGACAAGGGGGAATGGCTTTAAACTGAAAGAATGTAGATTTAGATAGGATATAAGGAAGAAGCTCTTCCCTGTGAGGGTGCTGAGGCGCTGGCACAGGGTGCCCAGAGAAGCTGTGGCTGCCCCATCCCTGTCCGTGTCCAAGGCCAGGTTGGACACAGGGGCTTGGAGCAACCTGCTCTAGTGGAAGGTGTCCCTGCCTGTGGCAGAGGGTTGGAACTGGATGAGCTTTAAGGCCTCTTCCAACACACACTATTCTATGATTCGATGACATCCAAGGGCCAGGGGTACCAGGTATGCCACAGAGCACACCTGCCCCTTGGGTGGATGTTGTTCAAGAGCTCCATCCTGGGAAGCAGTGCTCTGGCTACAAGTGTGACTGGATTACCAAGTAAACAGGATTAGCTAAGTTTGGATCACTCACAGTAGTAGTGCAGGGTGGAAGGTGGAATTTCCACTTAGCCAAGGATTACAAGACTTTGAAACCTGGTTTCGTTTGGAACAAAACCTGAAACTTTTGAAATCCTCCATGAAGGAAAATTAAAAACAAAAAGTGTTTGAGGCTAGCCAAAATGTTTTGTTTAGCTCATATAATTCCTCTTTCATGAACTTTGGTTAAATTATGACATTTTAAAATATCCCCTCTTAGTATATAATCTAGGGCAAAAGCAACTTTTAATATCCAACTGAAAAGTGTTTCAAAGGGCAAAAGTGAAACAATTTCTTCCTAAAATGTCAAAACACAATATTCCAATATTGTTAGAACTTTCTTCCCTTTTTCTCAAAATAAAATTTTGGCCAGATAACCCAAATTTTTCAGTGTGTTTTGCTTTTGAGAGAACTTCATATTCCATTGAGATATTGAGATACTCAGTTCTGTCAAAATCTCTCCAACGAGCTCTGATTTGAAACCTTCTACATCTCACACGTCTTGCCAGCAGCATCATTCCTAGAGAAACTGAGCTGTTCTAAGATTTATTACTCAGCTGCATTTTGCATTTAATTTCCTCTTCTTACAGTGTGTGCCTGCATGTTCTTAACTCTGAAGGGTGCAGCCTGATCCTTATCTGTCTCATACAATTGTCGTGGTGCCATTGCTCTGGAAAGAAAATTTGGGAATCCTATCCTTCTTACTACGTTAATAGTTGTCTCCACTTTAGGGCAGAAAATGTACCAAGTGTATGGTATTTGTTGCTCTCTCATTTTCTGTCATCACTACCACACTCCCTGACATTCAGGATCTTTGCCTATTTGCACTTGGTCTGAGTTACAAATAGCACAGTTAGATCATTGTCTGGCTTCTTTAATTGTCTATCTGTGAGTACTCAAGTATGCAAGCTTTAAATCCACTTTCTGCAAGCGTTCATGTGTGTAAATCTCCACTGCTTGAGTGTTCATGGAAAGTGAATACAAAAGAGGCATGAGCATGGCCAAAATTAACTCATTTTACAGTTTGAGACGACACTCATGGAAAATGTTTCGTGGTGCTCCTCCAGCTTCTCACCAGAAAACCACACTTCTCACATGTCTCTGGAGCAGCTCTGAACCTGGTTGGTCTGATTTCATTTTCCTGAGGTCTCATAGTGGTGGTGCTGCTCAGCTAGTCCAGGTAGCTGACACCAACTGTGGTCTGGACTACTTGTGAGCCATGCCCGTTGCAGAATGAGTCCTTCCTTATATCCAGCTTCTGCCTGAGCTTGGTGGTGTCCAGCCCTCTGGGATGAGATATTTTATGACTCTTTCTCAGCCAGTCATGCCCCTCACATGGGGGGCTGTTTGCTCCTTGGCAGTGGTTGTGGGAAGGCACTGGAGATCAGGCAGTTCTGGTTTACTCTTTACCTTCACATAGAGCAGGAAAGCTCTAACTTGCCTGGATTCTCACCAGCAGCACCAAACAAACGTCACAGCACCTCCGCAACACAGTCTAAGAGATTTTTATATATGAAAGGTGATTCTGGCTCCAACCCAAGTAAGTGCCTTTGCTTTCTGTGCAATATATGCATATATCAGTCAATTCCTACTGCCTGGCTCACTACTGACTAAGAGAAGTGTGATACTATAATGCAAAATGTTGCTCCCTTAGGCTGCTCTAGCGCCCTGCCTTTCCCAGTAGCCAATGTTTCACTCGAGAGTGATTCATTCTGTATTTGCAAGTGGAATTGTCTCAGTTGGACATTAGAGACCGGCCCTCTAACCAGGAGATGGGGTTTGACTTCTCCTTACAAACCTCATGTTCACATGTTGTGTTAGGCAAGACACGATGTTATATGAGATGCTCTTCTATGACCAATCCTGCTGGCGACCTCATAAACCAAAGGGTTTGCAGAACCTGAGTGCACAGGGGCAGAATGACTATTCCTCTTGCATACAAAAACTTTTGTAATATTCATAGTATTTCCCAATCTCTAGGAATCTGGGATTACAAGAAATAAGGTTTCCATCCTCTTCCACAGTTAAATGGATGTTTCTTACCTAGGTCTAAGTGTTTGATGGTGGTTAAGAAAGGGTCTCTATCTCAACTTCATTGAAGTTTTTAGTCTATGAATGGCTACAATCAAGCTCTCATTTCGGGGTGTTAAACACCCTGGAGGCTGAGTCCAGTTCATGTAATTCCAATGATCACACCCTGACCTACCAGAACATGTAAGTTCATTCACTAGTTAAGCCTTACAGAAGCATTGAACTGGCAGAGGTAAAGTTGCAGGAACCCAAGTGGTTCAGAAACATACTGGGCTTTGAGCCATCAGTCAACTCCACTTTCCTATCTGCAAGATGGCAGCAATAGGATTCATGGATCTTTCCAAAGCCCTCTGAGATACCAGGGTTAAAAAACACCTTCTCAGGGCTGTAGTCAGGAGCTCACTGTGAGTCTGAAAGAAAGTCATCAGAGGGCTCAGCCCAGCAGCAGTGAACATGAGATGATGTGAGTTGAACGAGGCAGTCACTGCTCAGACTGATCATACACAGTGCATGCCAGGGGGAAAGCTTGAGTTGAAATGGAGCTCTGGCTTTCTTCACAATATATCGCTGCTGAGGTCTCTCCAGATCCTGAGGTTAGTGGCATTCCCACTGCTCTGTGGCATGTGCAGAGGAGAGGAGGGCAACGGGATAAGTGAGGGTGAGGGAGAAGCATTAAAAGCTGTGCATCTGCAGGACAACTGGTTGGATTGCCGGGATGGCTGCCTGAGATACCAGGAAATCTATTTGCATCTGGGTTCATTTGGTATGAACAGGAGAATTCCCTGCACTGTTTATCCTTGACAAAAGAGGTACATTTCTAACACGTCATTGGATCACAGACAATATGAATAACTTTCACACATTGCCCTTTTCTCTTCAAATTAGTAGTGATGTCCTGTTTGTTCATGTTTGCCCAGTGCTTTATCTTGCTTTCTTCCTCAGTTGCAAACAGCTGTGCTCTGTTTTGTCCCCTCTGCCTTCTCCATTTCTCCCCTCTCATTACCTTTCTTTATCTTTACTTTTCTCTTTCTTCTCTTCTGTACTTTGCCTTCTCTCTCTCCTACTTGCTCCTTTTTTGTGTGATTATTTGGTAAGGAAGAGGGAATTCGTAGCTCTCACTGGATTCTGTTACCAACTGTTCCACCCATCTGACCTCTCTGGATCTTGCAGTCCATGACTCGGTGCCAAGTTGTACTGTTACCATAGTATTTGGGAACCCAGCAAGCATTGTGGCTTTCGTTAGTTTTTAGTAATACCTCCCATGCAGTTGAACATAGCCAATGGTGAGAAATGTACAAGTGCCTGTTTCATTACACTGAGTGCAAAGAGACAGCTCAGTCCTGTGCTCCATGTCCCTCCAAAAAAAGGGGTCTTACACAACATGATAGATGAGCCTGTAAGTGGCTTAAGGAGTTGTCCCTCAACAGCACAGTGCAACAGCTGCTTGGAATCAACAAAAGTTCGTTTCTTGTCTTTGTTATAGAGAAAAAGGTTGTATTTTAGAGTGAGAGGCAAGGGAATAAGTAGGAGCACAGAGATGAACTGAAGGCAAAGTGACTGTTTGTCAGGTTAAGTAGCAAGCAGAAGGAGTAGAAAATATTGTTTGGCACAGGGGAAAGCACTAGAAATAAGAAATACAGGACCAGATGCACTGGCGCAGCATGTTGTGGGGTGTCCGGTCCAGCTGAGCACTTAAATGGGTTTGCATCTCTCACCCAGCCAGGAGACATTGTCATTATATTCCTCCTTTCCATGCTGGCCATGCCTATTCTGCTCAAGTAAATAGTTTCCTTGACAGACACACTCTTCTGCCACCAGTTTGTCTTTGAAGACTGATGCCAATGGTAAACCCATAGCTTTTAAAGCCCTGTCTTTGCTGCTTTCTTTCCAGGGCACCCTGATGTTGAGCAGCCTTGTAAATCCAGTGTCAGAACATGGAGTCCCAACTCAGCAGTCAACCAACACACGGTGCCCCCGGCCTGTCCCGAGCCCCAGGGCTGCTACCTGCAGCTGGAGTTCCGCTATCCCCTGACTCCAGAGTCCCTCACAGTCTGGGTGACATTTGTTTCCCCGGATTGGGACTCCAGCGGAACCGTAAATGACATCAAGTTGCTCACCGTCAGCGGGAAGAACATTTCTCTAGGGCCACAGAACGTCTTCTGTGACATCCCGTTGACCATAAAGCTGGATGCAGGACAAGTGGGAGAGGAGGTGTATGGTATCCAGATCTACACTCTGGATGAGCACCTGGAAATTGATGCTGCCATGCTGAGCTCTGTCCCCCAGAGCACACTGTGCGCAAACTGCAGGCCCATCCAGTACAAAGTGGTTCGGGACCCTCCTTTCCAGTCTGGATCTCCAGTTGTCATCTCAAACCTCAGCAGGAGATTTGTTGACATGTAAGTACTGCTTCCCAGAGAGCTGAATAGACTTGTTCAGGGAAAAACAATAACCTGTTTTGTTGTTATTCGTCCTTCTGTTCATCCTTCTAATGTCCAGCATTGATTGTTGAGTAGACATACCAAGTGTCACCAAGAGAGGATGTTCTCATAGTTTCTCTGTGGAACCAGGATCATCACACTCAGGTGAAATAGCCTGAGATTTCACAGACAGCTTTGGAGATATTTCTGTGCAGAGATGTAAAATTCAGGCTTTCCTTAACTGGAAAGGATATTGCAAACTACGTAAGCTATGGTAAGTTAAATGCTTAAGATAACCTAAAAGAGGACCTCTGGAGTAACATAGAATCATTTCAGCAGAAATCTTCTGAAAGTAATATTTTGATGGAGAAGGAGAGAGAATGGCTCTCAGTGTTGGGGCAGCAATTCGTCGCTAGAGAAAGAGGGCAACAAAATACACTTGCTGTTCCAGTATACAAATGTATTTAATCCACTTTTATTTTCTGCTTTCATGTGTCACTAAAACAAATTGTGTTGGAGTGAGACCATTCTAACATAGTAAACATGCCAAATACACTAGTTTGTTGTAGTAGGAATGGAGTTTTATCCCAGATGCAGTTATGCATCAAGGAATGCATGATTGTTGAGGAAAGTCCAACTTCCAAATATTTACTGATTTCAAGGAGATCCATGATCTACTCATAAGCATTCTACAACAGCAAGAAAACACATCCTTTGCCTAACATGATTCCCTGGAAATGATTCACTCATCTGTGGGAACAACATGAAACTCTTGAAAAATGAACACCAGATAAAAGGAAACCTGCTAAGAAAACTGCACTCTAATTTAGAGAAGATGATCTAATTAGTAGAGTTAATACCAAGGAAGCATACATCATTATGGTCTTCTAAAGCGTATTTAAATATAATAAAAAAAGATTAATTAACAATTCAGTAATCATGAGCTCCCAGCCCTTTCATGGCCTCAGCTCAGAAGATGCAAATTGCCCCTATGGATTTAAAAATTCAAGGTAACTAACAATAGAGAATATAAAAACAGAAACCCAGGACATCACTGAGGTTACTCATGTGCTGAAAGTTAAGCATGTGCTGAAGTGTTTTCTTGGGTTGTAGCCTTGTTCCAACAATTGCTGGCACTTAACAGAAGATGAATATTGGCATTTTGGAAACACGGAAAATGGTGAATTTTCCCATGGTTTTGCTGTGAAAGCATCTTTGCCTGAAACCTGGCCCACTCTCCTTGGAAAATGGGACTGGTTTGGGTTGAAATATTTGCATACCTTAGCACAAGTTCCCACAGAAACAGGTCCAGTTTCGAGTTCATAACAAAATGTGAAAGAAGAGAAAAAGCCCAAAATACGGTCTGTATTCTGAGTTCTGTTCTTTTGACTTTGAGTATGATTTTGTGTGTCACTTACAGGTAGAAGTGAAAGGGTGCTCTAATAGTTAAACCAGTAGCCAGGGAGTAGTGGCAGTTTTCACTGGATAAATCACAAGGGGTAACAGTACTGTCCCTGTCTTACGTCTCACCTAGTTACATAGCCAGCTAAAAATCACACATAACATTTAAGTTAGTCTTTCTGGGCTCTACCTGTGATCGGTAGCTCCAGTCTAGCTGCCTCAGGACATCTGTGTCTTTCCAGGGACTACAGGGAAAATCCTGCCACTAAGCTTCAACAAGACACATGGAAAGTGAAATCTTTATTTAGTTACAGGGTGAGGCGTCAAAGATGCAGATTCTTAAGCACTTGTGGTTGGTTTTTGGTTCAGAACTTCTGCATGCATTGGAAATTTTGAAAAGTGAGATGATTTTTGGCATCCTAATACACAGATGCGCCCAACACTGATCCAGAACCTCTGCAGGGGGGTGGTGGTGGGTGTCATGCAGATTCATAGGTTGATGGTGCATGTCCAGGCTGCTTCTGGGCCGTACTTTGAGATTTGGTAAACTCGTTGAATCTCTGTGTGGGGTTGTGGTTCTGTGGTAGAGGCAAGATGCCCCATCCCTGGCAGTGTTCAAGACCAGGCTGGACAGGGCTTGGAGCAACCTTGCCTAGTGGAAGGTGTCCCTGCCTCTGGCAGGGGGTTGGAACTGGAGGAGCTTTAAGGTGCCTTTCAGCCCAAACCATTCTATGAATTTTCGTTAGCATCTTGTGTAAAGAGTAGCTAGTCCTTATACTTTGTAAGCAGGAAGGAAGGGAAGATGCTTCAGGGGAGTCAGGGACAGAGGTGTTGGGCTGTCCTCGTATGTATATATAATGCAGTCTGCCTGTTTGTCTCATTCCATACAGCTGGAATTCAGCATATCTGTGCAACCAGACTTTGCAGCCCCTTTATCTCTTCGTAAGCCCCAAGCTTGTTACCCGTCCTTTATGCTTTTTCATGTTTTCCATGTTAAATAAGATGATACCCCCGCATGTTCTGTGGAAGGTTATTTTGAAGGCAGTCACATATCTTTACTCTTGCCTCCTCTGACCTTGATCTTTCCTTTCTCCTTTTCTCCCAAAGAAAATATTTGCTTGCACTGTTATCTGTGAGCAAGATCCTTTCCCCAGGTGTGGCAATGCTGAAAGAAAAATTAATTTCTCCTACCTTCCTCCCATCAAAGAGAAGAGACTTCTCTTTAAGCTGAGAGACAGCCTTTAATGGATAGCCCTTGCTTAGTCAGCACTTGGGTGCTCCACAGAGGAGAGTAAATAACTATAATAGTGGAAACCTGTTTATTAAGAAATGCAAAATAATGCCAGACCTTCTGTTCTCAAGCTGAATTTTCTTCACAGCTCTTGGCTCAAGCTGAGGCTTACATTCATTTCTAAGGGACAGGACCATATCCTTGGCCCTTACAGAAACCAGGCAAGGTAGACTCAATTCCACTGAGTATCATCAGCCAGAATTGCTGGTATCTGCGATGCAAAATGAGAGTCAGAGCTTAGGAAGAGAGCAGAAAGCTAAATAAATCAGTGGGGGAAAAAAAAGAGGTCAGGCCAGGTGCAGCACAGAACTGCTGAGTCTTCACACCACAGCGAGTGATAAGGAGGGAGCCTCATCTGCAAGTCTCAAAGTCTCAGATCACAATTTAAGCCCAAGTGTGGGTTGTGCTTGTACGTAGAGGGTTGCACTCTGGCTGTTCTCTAGAAATAATGTGCAAAGATAATCACAATGGTGAACGTGGTGATGGCTTTGCCCTCGCTTTGCCCTTACTGTAGCGCTTTTACACTCACGTGGTTGCAGTTGGAAGGTAATCACTACTCTGGTATCATTTGTAGCAAACACTGATTTTTTTTTTAAAGAAAGAGCTCAGTGGGAAGTGAGTTCCCACAATGAGATGCTGTGCTGAGGCTGTCACAGGTCAGTCCCACCTCGGGGGAGCAGCCCATGTTCCCCATTGTGCTGTTGGTAGCCAAATACGCAAGGTGTAAGCAGCTGGGTGTGTTGGTGAGATCTCTGCTCTCCCCTCTGTCAGGCCAAGCTAAAAGACACTGAGGTTGGGTTTGGAAAGTTGTCAGAATAACTAGAAAAGTTTCTAAGAATTGGGAATTTTCCCAACTTTTCCGCCACAGACTTTGTAGGAAACCTTAAAATGTAGTGGACAACGATGGATCAGGTCATCTTTGTGGTGTTAACCTGTAGGCTTTTTTCAAGACAAAGGAATGGACTGAAATAACCTTAGAAGGAATCCCAGCATGAAGCCCTGTTATGGGTTTGGGGTTTTCAGAGTTGAGCATCACTGAGAAGCAAGTATGCTGTCCTGTGCTATATTCATCTGAGCCATTCCTGTACTGACTAGAGCTTTAATACCTAAGTGACACCTAGAGATACTGCTTGAAAAGAAAGAAAAAAGAGAGACTGAGAGAAAAACTTCATTTTCTCATACAGGGAATATGGTTTTCTTCTCAGTTTTGGGGTATTTTAAAGCTATTTTCTATGGCTGAAACTTTTCTATTGCTTGATAATGGTTGGAGGGGACTGGTTGTCATCCGTGTCCAGCTGTTGTTTAATTAAATACAATATTTTCATATATTTTATTAGAATCAGGAGTTCCATTTGGTGTAAGCTTGTAAATGCCATCTCATTTACTGTGGTTTAACTGTACCCAAGACAGTGGAGTGCAGATATCACTTGGGCTTCTTGGAGTGATTGCAGAATGACTGAGACATTGCCATCATCATGTCTGCAGGTAGTTGGAGAGCGGCTGTGGTATGTGCAGGGGTCCTTAGCACATCATGTACTTTAGTGTACTTCACCTGAAACAACTATTTGTTTCAAAGTTGGCTTTATTGATGCTTTTTGCCACTTGTTTCTGGTATCCAATCAGAAGGCCATATGATGAGTGACTTTTAAGAAACTCCAGATGATCAGTAGTTGAAGGAGATGACAAACGGTTCTTAGTCTGAAGGCTCCTACAAATATGAACAAGCAGAAAAGCTGGAGAATCAGTAGTGGCTTTTTATAATGAGCGGTAACTCATTACAGCCAAAGACTGGTGTGCCGTTTAGCCCCTGACCTCAATCAGAAGATGGAGTTTACAAGACAGGGGCCCAGCTGAACAGAGGACTGGAAAAATATGATGATCAGAATGATGATATGTAAACCTAAGTCCCTGCTGAATGCAACACTAAAATTTCATGGTGACATCTGTCCTTATCATGGCATTCCTTCCTTCATCTTGAAGATCTATTTCTCTATTTTCTGAAGGTCTACCAGCCAGAGGAATGCATGATCTAAAGCAGCTGAAATGAATTGCCAGATACATCTGTCATGAAGATAATTAACACCATATTTCCACCCAAACAAGATACAGATCGCTGGGTGGATGTTCTCCCAACACCAAAAGCTGAAGCCCATATTATCACCATCTCCTGCTCGCCCCTCCTCCACAGTTACCATGCCAAACCTCTCCTGATATGCCAGGAAATATTGGGGAGTATCTAAGATAGGGCTGAAATATTAAGAAAGCACTTTACATGCCCAGATTTATC